TGATTTGATTGGTTAATAGTCACGCATGGATCTACATAAATTAGCCAATCACATAAATGTTATAGCCCGTGATTTTCCGTAAAAATACGAGTTATTGCTATGCTGGTGTCCAGGATTATGATCCGGTAAATGCCAAATTATGCATCCGGTAAATTGCGAGTTATTAGCCAATAAAATTTCAAAAAGAACGACAAGTCAGGTGATTACAGTCACAGAAACAACATTTAACCAATCAATTTTTGTTTACATGCTGCATAAAAGTGAGCGGAGTAAAAATCGCAAATTATGCGCATATTATGCCGGATCATAATCCTGGACACCCTAATCTGAACCTGATTTGTGAATGGACAAAGGTAACGGTAATGTGCCTGTATATTTAAATCCGGAGTTTACGCCTATATCCAGATCTATTGATTAAATCCGGATATCCAAATATAATAATTTAAATCCGGATATAAGCGGATCCAGGTATTACGTAACTCTAACCTGTTTCATAATCTGTTAATCATTACTATAAATTATGGTACTATTTTTATATACCTACATAGACGCTAATTGTTTGTCCCTAATTTTTGATACTTCAATAAAACAAATCGTGGATTCAAGATAACAACAATATATCGCTATACTGCAATAACGAAGTACTGTTTTATATGTTATGATTAAATAATACAGGTAAATCTTGACATGAGCTAATAAGAAAAGTGATTGACCAATAGTATTTTCTTATGTCGAGAGTTTATTAAGCACCCACGAGTATACCATTATTAAGCACCCTCAAGTATACTATTTTTTACAATATATACTAGCACTCATAAAAATGCCAATTTTTTGTATTAAATTTAGATTTCATGACTACTAAGGCAAAAAGGCATAATTTAAGAAGTAACTCTCCTAATAATCTGAAAGTAGAGGAACTTAACATGCGAGAAGAACTTGAAAAACTTCAACTTGCATTTGATGAGGTTAGTATTTTTTTTAAATATATTTATAGCAAATCCTTTTTTAAAAAATATATTTTTATAATACTAAAGTTTTTTAATTATTTAGCCAAAAGCAATTGTAGAAAAAATTGAGTCTTTTTGGAATAACGATTCTAAAAGAAAACTAGTGGTAAAATCGGTTATTTCTTTTAACAGCACTCAAATTATTATTAATTAAGAATTAACCAAAATTTATATAACTTAAAAGATTGATGAACTAGAAGCTGCCGGTTTTCAAATAACTAAAAAAAAAATCAAAAGAAATAAAAAACAAATCAACAATGAAATGTGGAAAGCAGATTTAAGTGCATCGCAGTTAATTCTATTTAGCAAGATCTGGGATGATATTAAAGAAAAGGATGTAGAAAAAATCAATTGGAATGATATGAGAAGCAATTATAATGATGCAAGGGATAAAGAAGCCTTTATTAATGATTTTCAAGAGAATTGGCTTATTAAAAGAGATCGTGCAGTTGCAAAAAATCAAAACTGTGAATTGGACGATGTTATTCTTAAAAGGGCGCAATTTTTACTTTTAGCAAACTACATTTTCAACACCAATGATAATAATAAGTCACATCTTAGATATTATCAAGTTAACTACCAAAGATTCGCCGAACTTCATAGTATTATTGGAAAAAATATTTTATTACTTCCCATACCAACATCGTTTTTTACTGCGCATGGTATGTTAGAATTTTTTGAATTGTGCTATACAACTAATACTGTTTAGCTTTAATATTCAGTTTATTACAGATAATGGGAAAAAAGTTCAATCACTAATCAATTGGTTTAGGACCGCAAAAGAAGGTAAGAATACTTATTTTTTATTAATGTTTTTTTTTTCTAGTTTTAACGATTTTGTTTATATAGACAATAACATAGACATATAACATAACATATTATAAAAAATTTGGGCAAGACACTGTTTTTCACATATGTTTTTTCTAAATATAAATTCGCGTTCTAGTTGGTTAATGAACGCAAGTATAAAACTTTTTATAAGTTAATTATATATTTTGCACGACAGCAGCGGTTACGATTGATAATTTTATAAAATTATGGTAATTTGGCAGGCCAATTTTTCTAAATTTAAAAAGAAAAATAAATGTTATTTTCACATTATTTTAGACTCACGAGGTTAGCACAATACAAAATCCTAAAGCATAATATTAAATATATTTTTCAAAGAAATATTTGTAAAACGATCATATGCAACAATGATTTCCAAAAAAATCGTACGATACATTGGGGTGCTCAGTCAACTATATAAATCAAAACTATATACGGTACTATATAAAAATTAATTAAGGATTTTTTGAAGTTAGTGATCAGGATAGTGATTTAGATTATTTGTCACTTTTTATATATGTTTTTATAGTAAAGAGCGAATCGCTATTTTTTTCAAATATTTTAGCATAAATTTATTCTTAAACATATTTATAACAAAGTTATGTTAAAAAATTTTATGATCTAATATTAAATTTTTATCTGCAACGAAAATATCTCTTTGAATAATTCACGATATGAAACAGAATTTTTGTAAAGAGTCAACTTGAAATTTAAATATCAAGGGTAAAAAATTTTCAACGTAACTTTGTCATAAATTTGTTTAAGAATAGATTTATGCTATATTAAAAAAGATAAAGTGGACATTTAAAACATGCAAATCATTCTTTATATTAATAATAAAAAAAGAACACATAATGCTGTGCGTCAGATGACTACCAGATGACCAGCATTAAATGATCTTCAATAATTGGCCTAAATTACCCTGTGATTTTCACCCTAACCCTAATCCTAAATCTGGCCGGGCGTCATCTGACGTAAGGATGCATCTGAGGCAAAACATATATATAAAGTAATAAATAGTCCCGATCATTATCTTGATCACTAAGGAGAGGGACAGAAATAAGGTGATTTCAAGTTACTAAGAGGCTATACCCCCACCCCCACCTGATTCAAATATTAGCCAATTAAATTTAAGTACAAAATATAGGACCTGATCGAATCACAAACCCACCCCCTAAAAAATCAGCTGATTTCTGTTCCTTCCCTAACTTCAAAAAAATCCTTAATAATTAATTTTTATATGGTACCGCATACAGTTTTGATTTATATAGTTGACTAAACATCTCAACGATACATCGTTTTCCATCTCAACGATACATCGTTTTCTAAAAATTCGAAATGCACAGTAATGTTGCATGATTTTGATTTGAAATAACAAATATGTAACACGAACAAAGTACTCATTATTCCATTTTATATAGGTATTTTTTTTTTCTTTGGTTTTTATATACATTCATAGAGAAGTGAAACGAAGCGGCTGATCAAGATCAAGAAAGCGAAAGCCACAAGATCAAGAATGAGGATACTAGAGTTTTTATAAAACGCAACCAAATCCTGAAATCATAATTACCATTTTTTCGCTTAATTTGGGCGTCAACCATAATCAAAAGTTCACAAATATGCAAATGGGATAACTTTTAGCGTCGTACGATTTTGGAAGCAATGCACTTAATCAATATTATAACTTAATAAGGTTAATACCTCTAAGTATGTTCTTTTTTTTGAGAACATAAAATTAAATTTGACTTAAAACGCTAAACTCCACCAAAATAATCTGTTATTGTTAAGATAACGACATCAACAGAATTCGCTATATTTTCTTATATTAATAAATGGTGCAATATGTGGTTGTGTAAGGTGTCTGGGTATGATAATTGCAGTTTTATTGCTTGCGATAAACATCGGGGATTCTTTGTAGGTCAGGCATTGGCAGGCAATACCGAATTCAATAATTTAAGTGAAAAGGATTTGGAGGTACATTTGCATTGCACCTTATTGGTGAATTAATCATATTTGGTGGTCTTTTGGTTG